TGTAGTTTTACCTGCAAAGCACATAATTCCGCGAGATCGATGACACTCAATTCCCTATTTAACCGGCTGTAGACACCTAGTCCACAAAAGTCGGCCGGTGGCTGAGTGGTCTGCACGTTTGGTTTGGTTCGAATCCTCGTAGGGGTGGGCGTCCTCGCAATATACTCAGTCCGCGCGCGGTTGGTGGTGGTCGCGCGACACCGAAGAGCTGTTAGGCGTAGAGCTGACATACTATTATTATTATTATTATTATTATTATCATATTATAGTCCATAAACACACATGGCAGTACAATGGCATATAACGGGTCAAATCGATAACGCTTCCCATTTCCCGTAGAATAGTCGTAATGAAGAGAGGAAGGTTCCGTAATTAACGTACCAATGAAATGAAGTGTGCCTTGATGATTTAGCGGAGACATTTGCATGATAACGCGTATACATCAATTTAGTTGCAACTAACCCCTCACCATAATTTAAATATTCGGCACGAAACGGGAAATTCGAGAACATAATTTTATACCTAAAATCCCCTTTATAATTCCAGAAACGAACATCAAAAGACGTAAGTTCCGGGATGACACTGAAAGGACGACCAAACAGCGCTCCAGCAAGTTCGGTGTGTCCGGATGTCAAGACAGTCACAGGTATATGACTGCGAATCATCGGAGTCTGGGGTGCGAAATATTGTGGCGTGCTTAAGAATAAGGCGACAAAAGTGGACTACGCAGCTTGCCAGTGAACTCTAAGTTGACAGCTGGCCACATGGGTAAGAGATAAATATAATGGGCGGCACTCTGTTGAGAGGGCTGATGCCGTGATGCAACTGCGACATTCTTGTTTTAGGCGTGTACCCGGCGAAAGATCGGTGCACCGTAAGCCAACCACCGTACCCCATAACATCCATCCCAAACTTAATGTGAGACACTGCAGTTGCCATCAAGTGCTTGCACTGCAATTACACTTGTGAGATCATGGTGGTTAATGTATAGCTGATTACCATGACGGCCACCTTAGTCGCTTGAGTAGTTCATGCTCTCTGAATGCTGCACAACTAGCAATTGGAGGACGAATAACTGCACCGCACACATTGCCAAAACTTAGGCGCTGAATCGGACGCAGTCGACCGCATAGCCCTCTGCAGTGGAACAATGGAACAATGGTGTATAACGGGCAAAAAATAGCAATGCTTACCAAGTCCTGTGGGATGGAAATTATCGCAAAAATTAACTTGCATGATAAAGTGAAAAGCGTTTTGATGGACTCAACATAGACTTATGTAAAATAGCGGAGATTTTCGCGTATTAAAAGTATAAATCCATAAATCCATTGGTTGGGGGTTTGATAAGATATCGCTTGATTGCGTTTCGTAGCCCCTGGCTAACAAGTCAGAAAATGAAATGCAAATGAGACAACGCATCGTCAACTCGTTTTTTTAAATATCACCACATTGGGAGCAGAGACGGCATGATTAGGGAGGACCTTCCAAGGCTGGCACACGCAGATGGAAAGACATTTCTACGGCATTCAAGCCGGCTATACTGTATTTGCAGTTTCAGAGGATGATCTCTTACTTTAGGGCTGTGGTTCAATTTCAACAGCGGACGGCAAATGTGGTTTGCGTTCTTCAAAAGCTGGTAAATCATTATGAGGTCCTCTCGCAAACGTCGATATCGACCGCTGTACATTCTGCTAGACTTCAGACTAAGCTGATAGGGCAGATGAAAGAAGCCTCTGACGTCATTGGTTGCCCTTTGTTGAGGAGTTTTGAGAGCAACGAGATTCTGATTCTGCCACGGCTTCTACGCCTGGATAGCATATTCTACATGCGGTCGCACGTAGGCATTAAGCATTTGGGGGAGGATTGTGGGTTTAAACCGAGCGAAGGAACTGCGATGCAGGCCGAAGTTTTGGTTACCGGTTTTCACCAACTTCTCTGCTTGTTTTGCACACCCGAGATCTTCTTGGATAAGTACACCTATGTCATGCTCCTGAGAGGACTTCTGTAAGGTGTAGTCTCCAAGCTTGTAAGTTATTACCAGCTGGTGACGCAAATGGATCACCTTGAACATAGCTATGTTCAACTGAGATAGGTTGCTCTTTGATAATTCATGCTTGCAATCTAGGTATTGTTGCAGTATATCGTGATCTTCATCGTTACTAATCGCCCGCCTTGCCTCGATGTCATCGGCACAAAGCAGGAAAGCTGAGGAGATAAAACTTGTTATTTCTTTGATAGACACCAAGAATAAGCGTGGTCCCAACACTTGCGCTTGTGTAACACCACATTCTACCTCATTCGGGTTAGAAAGTAATAACGTAACGCGTACGTGAAGCCCCTTTGTTGAAGAATGTTGCCAATCCAAGCAAGAACTGGATCCCCGATTCCGGATCTCTGTTGCCGTTGCGGAGGAATTCGGTGATCTATGCGGTCGAAAGCGTTGTAGAATTCTAGTTAAACTAGGTCAACTCCGACCCCATCATCAACCACTTCCGTCCGACTATTTCGTGCAGTCAGTAGGTTTGTGGTGCATGACCGGTGTTGACGGAAGCCTTGCTGCTCCGATGCCAAGATGTTGCAGGGGCCAACATTTTCTGAAGAACAAAATAGCACAGCTGCCGCTCGCTGTTAAAATTGTATCACAACACTAACATAAGACCTCATCCCGGGAAATTAACAATACAGTACAGCCAGCATGAATTCCCTAAATATTTCCTTTCCTCCAGAGTATGTCATCCGCGGACTAATCTCCCAAATTATGTCGTCTCTGCTTCCAACCCACCGATGATTTAAATGCGACTTGTCCAATTGTTATTCAATTGGCTCTGCAATTTATTACTTGTTAGCCAATGGGCTGCAAATTTAATGGACCTGTGTGTTTCCAAACCTTAAAACGATGGATACATGGATTTTTACTTTTACTACGCGAACTTCTCGGCTCTTCTACGTAATTCTACGATGAGCGCGCCAAAATGCTTTGCACCGTATCATGCATTTTTAATTTTGCCGTATTTTCCATCCCACGGGATATCATTTAGCTGAATAACTTCTGCGCGTCGATTTGGCTACCTTCGTTTAGCGCACGGTAGGGAAGAGAAGCTGTTTCACTGGACATGGATGGCATTGTCCAGGTTCAAATATCATGCGTTGGTAGACCAGTGAGATCACAGACTATTCAGATGTCTAGTATCTATTTCCTATAAAACCCATACACACCGTTACCGAATTTACAACTGGCTGCGCGTCGACGCACCGATGAGGTCAGTTTGATTAATGACGAAAGGTATGCAACTGAATCGCCAGGCTCAACCAATGGCTCGACTAACAAACAACTAATCTGAGCTAGCAGCGTCTGCTTTTATATCACAATTGGAACGTTAGCACTATCTTGTGAAACTGATCACATAGCCATTATCGAAGTTCCCACAAAAGGAAATGTAATTATTTCGTTTGAATGAACGGTAGTGCAATTTTCCACCCGGTTGCCGATCTTCACCGTAAATATGCTTTTCTAAGCAACATCCATTGCCTGAAGGTTAACAGGACGACACTCCATGGATTCGGCGGACTGACAGTAGCCAGTATTTCACTGAATTCTGGAACTCATTCCAATTGGGACACCACGTGCAATACGCCGGCATCGATTTATTTGATCCCATAATTGCAACATGCCAACACTCCACAGTTTTCCTACGCTAATCCATACCGCAGACACTTTTGCCACCATATATCGATAAAATTAAGTAGCTTAGTGCATTGCTTTGTTAAAAGCCCTAAAGCTATTGTTGCTCATTTCACTGTAGTGTGCCGTATAACAATCGGAAGCGTACTATATAGGCGTAAATAGAGAAGATGATCATCCCAGGGCAATCCTTTGCAACATTAGTAATGAACGACTGTTCAACGGTATGAGCAACAAAGTATATATTCGCAGACGTAGAAATGTTTATAATTCCGAAGATAGATGATCATTGTTTTGTGGTTGATGATCAGTGTGGAAGAGTTGAATGACTTTATCGAGATAAGAGCGGACGAATTTTAGTCGTAACCGAAAGCTCTTCCATGTTCGTCGTAAAATTTCATCCAAAGACAAAGTGTTTTTATCACACTAACTCTACTTTCCCCAGAGATAGGCTAGATTTAGCAATCTTTTCAAAAACCAGTTCTTATCCACAACATTCTAGCACCATTCTTAACAAAACAAAACAGTACTATAGGTGGATAGGGGCTAAACGTGATATTAAGTAGCCCCTCATCACAAGGCCGGAAAACACCACATGGAAAATATTCCGAAATTATTCAGGACCATTTTGCTCACTTGGTTGAACTCCATCAACATTCAAGTATGTAGAAGAATATATGTGATACCACACAATCCTTTGCAGTGGTCTCTGGGATATAATGTTGATATTATCCGCTATAGATAAGGTTTACACTACTTAGTGTCATTTTCCGGGACACATTGGACTGTAAGAGCAGTTGGACCACATGGGCATTGTAATAGACGAATACGTAACTCACTGAGAAAACGCAGACGACGGGGGCTGCAAGCAATGAAAGAAATGATCGAGAGTAAAAAATTCAATTCCTTCATTGTTGCATACTACTGAATGTAGACCCCTAGAGAAACCTACTTACTTTTATCTAACTTTAAGCAGGCTAAGCTAAGGTAGAAATAAGAGAAGACGGTTTTCATTTTATGATAATCAACGATGAGTTATAGTCTACATTAACTACTACTGTAAAAAATTAGGTTGAAATTATGGAATACATTCAGCATGGATCATCAGCAAATGACTTATGGGCCCCAGTTTTAATATCAATGTAGCGATTAGAATCGAAACAAATAGCCCGCCGTATCTATCCTATCTAACCGACAACCCACTTTCTGCTTGTACATTGAACAACGATGTGATTCACTTATATCACGTGAGCAAGTCCAAACGTGAAATCTTCGGTATGGGGCTAGAAAAACGGCTGTCATGTCTGTATAAGGGATACGGGGATTTTCAGCACTCGTTCCACTTTTAACAAAGTGTTACGCGAATAGGACATGAAGTTATTCATTGAACCGAAGCAGCTGATGATTGCGCGAACAATGTTGGTCCAATCAAAAGTTTGGAGAAGAAATGTCTATAACCAATGATGGCTGCGATTAAATGTAACAGGAAAGCGTGCCTCTTGCTGTCGTTCACAATGCGAACCGCACCATGCGCTTTGTGACTAAAAGTGAGTAACTTTTACCAAGTTAGAAAAACCGGTTGTGAATAGTTTGTGGAGTTACTGTTGCTGAAAAAAATTCTGTATTCGTTATTATGGTCGCATTCACAAGTAAGTCGCAATTGAGGAATGAGTGTGCAAGATGCAATTATTTATGGGTTATATGCACAAGTATACTGCAAAAACAAATCGCTGTGTCAATAATTTAGCACAGTATATTTATCAACTAGCACAAACTCAAAACTTAGGCCGTCACATCTCTGGTTTCATATAGAAAATTGTTACGTAAGTAATCATCTTCTTACAGGTCGTTTGCGCGCTAACATATATATAGGAGCAACACAAGGAAGAGTGTAAAAGTCCTTTTAACTTTGAATTAGCTAATAAAGAGGAACGTTAGTATAAACATTTGTTTGAAGCATTTTAGCATGTTCATGCTTCCAACGAATACATAAAGTAATGATTCTGCTATGTTTCGACACTTTGTATGTAGGCAACTGGAGCTTTCCAGTTAATGCCTAAACACAAGCCAGCTAGCTTTGTGATTTACTTTGGCCAGTCTGATAAAATCTCATAGTTTGATTGTTGAAGCATTAGTGTTTCGGAATAGTCACGACTGGCAATCTCAGTATGGACTGCAATTCATTTCGAGGGCTGTCGTAATGGACCTCTGCGAATCAAAACTGTCTGGGTTTCCATCAGCATTCTTTTGTTCGAAAAACACGGGCTCATTTTATGCACACACAAATTGGCGCAGTTCATCCGGCTGTTCTCGCGACATCCACTTGAGTTTTGAAATCGCCATTTCCGATCAATTAGCTATTTCATGCAATCGATTGTGGGCTAGCGACGCTAGCATGCAATAGGTCGGTTTGGGGGTTGTTGCTGTTCGCTCGCTAACTATCACCACATCCTCCATCTTTCCGAAGTTCCTGTGTTGCAGTTTCCATATATTCGTGCACTGCTTGTTAACTTCTGGTCTAACGGAATGACAATCGCAGTAAGCACAGGTTACCTTAGATGTTTAGATGTAGGCAACAACTTCCTTCGTCTGCGACCGAAAAAATGCTAAATCCATCTTGTGCCGACGACGGTAGAAGCGCGTTTCTTCCTTTCAGTACCACGAGGCAAGGATCCTCCTCCATTTCCGTGATGAGTCGTTTCATTTATTTTACTGACAGTTTTCATGACAGTTATCCCTTTCGGCTGCAGCATCGACCCTCTCGACCTTTAGGAGTAACTGTGCGTTGTACTGCACTCTACTCCGAAGTAGTTTCTCCAGGATAGCATGCCGTCAATGAATCTTAGATCAGGCTGTGAAGATGTTAATCGATCTTGTGTCAACTGAGTTAGAAAGAGGCACACTTGTTCTCTAATGCCCTCTGAGTAGTTTATTTTGGGCGGCTGCGTCACTTGCTGATCTTCACTGCCTACTGAACAGACATCGACCAACCGCATGCAACTAGCGATAAGGTTTAATTGACTCTCACAATAGTTTCCGAATCCGTTGAGTATTTCTAAAAGAGCAACTTCTCGATCGTCACATAATCATATGCCTCCTTGATTTGCCACGCTTCATGGCCGATAGCATACCGGAACATGGCCAACTATTATAACTGTATCTGCACGAAAAAGTTCATCCATTTCGTTTTCCACGCCCTCCAGCTATCCGGTAATGTGCTTACTGTCATCTGTAATCAGGTGGCAATGGGACCAACAAGTGTCCGTAGAAGACAGGTGGGGTTTGGTAAATCAGTACCACCGTCACCATGCCGTAATAACCCTCCGCAAATCAGCAAGTACGTCTGGGCTTAATCAACGGATATTGTTTAAAGCACAATGGCTGAATTTATACATCACATAAATTAGAATAACATACAAATTGGCGCAGCCTATCCAGTTGTTTTTACGCGGCATCCACTTGAGTTTTAAAATCGCCATTTCAGGTCAATTCTCAATTTGGTGTCATCGATTGGGAGCTATCGATGCGAGCTAGCGTGGCTTGGTGTCAATGCTACTCATTCGTCAGCTGCCAGCGCAAGGCATATGTTTAAATTTTAGCTAGTTGTGACCTAATGAATAGCTAACAAGCGCATCTACCACCCACTTCAGTGTGTCACAAAGGCTCTACTCATATCAGCCAGAGCGTTGTCTAAATAGGAAATTCACCCGACGGCAGAAAGACATAAATTGTACAATGGTTGACTCCGGACCGATAATACCTTTCCGAGCGAGATTAATTATTCCAGTTGGCTTTGCCGATTTTTATTAAGCATGACAAAGAATCTTCACATGAATACCATGCCTATTGAACCGTTGCTTCTAAGGTTGTAGTGTATGCGCTATGCGTTGTGTAGCGAACGTTTCGTGTCACGTAAAATTCACTATGCAGAAGTCTACTCAGCTTTGGTCTATACGTTCTTGTACTTTGTCAAAATACTTTCCTCGCTGTTATCTAAAACGATGAATTCCTTGGAATTGAAACTAGTACAGACGTTTTGTTTCCCTCGCACTCAACTTTGCTGTCAATGTGACACCGTTGTACCTCAGACGATAAAATTCCAACCGAAGTTTGATTGCGTAACACCATATGTTGCGCTTGTTACTACTGTGTAGTTTGACTTTTAAAACGCCCTACATTCGTCGAAAGCGCATTTTTACTGAAGTAGAAAACGCGATCCATTAAATGAAACAGTTCGCTACCGTTGAGAAGGGGAAATCAAGGATGTGATCTTGAGGGCGCAGATATCGCATGGAGGCTTAATGCATGTGGAATAATGGGTGAATGCATTTTTTACTATATCGTATAAAGGCATATGGTGAGACGATATTTCACGAAGCGTTACAACTGCTTCAAACATTCTTAACCGGATATAACTACAGCAAAGACTATACCCATTTTAATAATCACATGAACTCTTTTCGAGAAATAATCAAAAATTTAGAAAAATGAAGACATGGTTATTTGCGTGCTGTTTAACATGGGTGCTTGCGTCCCGGAAATGGTGGGCTTTAAAGTTAACAGACTACAACATAAGTGTTCATTTTGAATTCCTCTTGAAAGTGAAATATTTTTTTTACAATTTCTATTTTTGAACTAGCCATTGCTTCAGACTACCGCCTCAGAATTCCGCTAAACTACCGCCTCGACTTCAATATAGTATCAGTACATTAAAGCAAAACGATAAGTATAATTATACCATTATCTGGTTACTTCATGATATGCAGAGAAGAAAACCATATCGCGCATGATTAAAGTTTCGATCTTCCGCTAGCATTCCCCGCAGCTTCACTGAAGCTGAAAGCATCATTAAAATTCAAGTGCTTAACATGATGTTAGATTACTGAAACAAGTTGAGTGTGCGAATTGATGCTGCTCACTACTTCTAACTAATTCGTCGAGTGATATAATTCATGTGCCAATTGCAAGATGAGTCCTTGGAAAACGTAGACGACGAAAGGAGCGCCATTTCTGGTGAGTAGAAAGAGCAATCCTTAAGTAAGGAGCTGCCGTACATGCGGTTATACCCTGTACTAACCGAATATATCTACCTGGACTGCGAAGTATACAGTACAAATCAGCTCATTAACTGATTGATTCCAACCTGTAATTATTGCATGCTTCGGTACGACGCTGAAAGCAATGTAGCTACATTGAGCTTAAAATGAGCTAACTAACCTATATACCATATCTAGCCTATTTGCATATTTGTCGGTCACAGAATTCAGCACTTGTGGCAACAGATAGGGTATTGAGCACGTCAACGTATGCCATTAAAAAGAGGAATACCCCTGAGTTTAGAGTAGTTCAACTGCGCTTATATTGTGACGCCAAATGTTACAGAAAACATCCGCGGGTGCGGACTCCTAAACTGTACCACAGGTGGTACACAGTTGACAAAAGTGTCAGATGTCTACTATGACTCTTTTGTGGCGTTGCGATCGACTGCCGACGTACTATCTTGTAGTATTATAAAGCAAATAAGAGAGATACGTCTTGATCCAGGAATTCAGATGTTGCCAAAGCTCCCAAAACAGAATTATGTAGTAGAATTAAGGTGCATGCACGCAGAGGGTGATAGATAGCATATTTTCGCCAATAGTCAATTCACCAGGTTGCGTGTGGCCTTCAAGCACGCAAAACAAAACACTTCACTTTATTTCAAAGGGTAAAAACAATCTTGGTTTATTTTACACACCGTGAGCAAATCGTACATATAAAACTACAGGTTCATTCGTATCAAATTCCGATCATTTAACCAACTAATTGGAATGCATTTAGATAATAATCAGCAGGATAAGAAGTTAGCAGCCCAGAAACGGGTACATAATCGAGTACCGGCATCACAAGATGAATGCAGCCGACAATAGCGGTTATATTCACGAGGATCACAACGAGATATGATGGGACGAAGCGAATTATAATCCGCATCATTGCGATAACATGACGAGCCAACAGAGGATAAGACGGAAGTTACATCAAGAGAGGTGGGGTAGGAATACGAGGCATTGCGTGCTCTGTACTATACTATTTATGTATTGCGGTACAATAGCGGAGGTGTTTTACCATCTCTAGCTGACATGTATAATGATGATGATGACTATACTAATCATTACAGTTAAAAGACGGATGTTGCAAGATGATATCATTCCGTGGTCTCTAATCACATTTGAACGAGCGATATGTTAAACGATCACTGACGAACAGTACCAATAATTTGAATGCTAACAGGAAGAAAGAGAGGACATGTAACACCACAGCCCATTGCAGAATAACAAGTTGTGAAACTAGTGTTACGGTTCCCCAGGAAGCAAGAGTGTGATAACTGTTTTCACATAACGCTCGTTCGGATGTTTTAACTGATGCATCGGCATCAAACCACGTCTGAATGTGTTCTCTGACTTGCTTACGTACATGTGGGTCTATTCTGTCGATACAATTGGTTCCATCATTGTAGATAAAGTGGCAACTGCAAGGTGCAGGGGTGGAGATTGATTGTGTAAGTATA